ATGTTAAAATGGTTCTTTTATAGAAGTAACAAAAATTCATTTACTTTGAAAATGACGCTACAAAAAATTAATGAATTAAAATTAATAAATGATAATTAGTTCCAGAACATTTTAATTTATATTAATTACTACGTATTTACATATATACAATGTTCTTATTTAAAATGCCATATGTTTATTTTCCTGCAGGAAGCTTGATACAATGGGTGGAGGTTCTTCAGGTCAAATTGGTCTTCATGTGGCAGGCTTAGGGATTCTTACATCACAACATTATCAGGTTATCTTTATTTGTTATTTATATTTATTTTAAAAAGAAGAAAAAAATTACATAAGACCATTAAAAAAATAGTTAACTAAGTGAATTCAAAGGATAATGATGATTTGTTTTTAAACCGCCATATTTTATTTCTATTCGAAGTAATTCAAAATTCATATAATTTCATAATAATTTTACTAATTTTATCAAGTTTAGATTTCTTAATTTTATCATTTTGTATTTTCGTTTGTATTTGAAACTAACAAAAAATACATCAATGTAGGTATAGGTGTTAAATACATCATTAAAAAAAATAAACGACTGCTTCTCCCCCCCTCCTCCCTCCTACCCTGCTGCAAGAGATGAAAGATTAGCTACAACCCCTTATCTGACGAATATCGTGAAAGATTATTAAGACATTCAGATCTAGAGCTGATATTTAAAAAAATTAGTAAAAACTTACTTTTTGCCATTCAGACCCCCATAGAAATATATGGAAAAACAAATTTATTCCACTAATACAATTTTTTGTTCTATTATTTATTCTAATAATAATAACTGATGTTTTTGTTGTTGTTGTAGGATAACTTACTGAGGAAGCAAACCATCAAACAATAAATCTAGAAATACCCCTCTATTCACGAAAGAATACCATTTAAAGATTAAACCTTTTTTCTATTGAAAAGAGAGCATTTTCTTTACAGAAACGACTCGCGGATGTATGCAGCAACGACAAGGAACGTTTTTTTCTGCCAAAAAATTCAATTTAACTAATTTTGAAAAAAGAATGTATCCACGTTCCAAAACATATTAAGAATCCAAACGAATTGTATAGACACAAATAAAAGATACAAAATTCGTTTGAAGATATCAAGTTCAAAATATCAATCAAAGCATTCTTAAATCTCATTAATAACTATGAAAATTATAATTTAAAAATAGAATATTATATTTTTTCAAAAATAAATTAACCGAGAAANCTCCAAGGCCCTGCGCCCTGTGTACAATTAAGGGGTTTGAAGCCAACCATTATTCCCTATGCAGGGGACCCTTTTCCACACCTGAGGAGTATCTTCGAGCCTTCTCCAGGTACTATCCTTAGTACATAGATCAGAATATATAACATGCCAGGTACTCTCTGTAGTACACAGATCAGAATATATAACATGCCAGTTACTATCTTTAGTACACAGATCAGATAATATATCATGCCAGGTACTATATTTAGTACACATATCAGAGAATAAAAAGTGCCGGTACTCTCTTTTGTACACAGATAAGAATATAAAACATGCCAGGTACTCGGTTGAGTACACAGATCAGATTATAAAATGCCAGGTACTCTGTTTAGTATACACAGAGCAGAATATAACATGCCAGGTACTCTGTTTAGTTCACAGATAAAAATCTTTAAATTTATCAGCTAATGACGTCAGTACAAATCTCAGGATCCAAAAATATCAAATAATCATTTCAGAACAAAGACTAAAAAAATTAAAAATAATTAATTAAATAGAAATGTTTGTCAAAACGTGAAATATTTATAAAAAAAATGATATTCTACAGAGGCAAGGTTACAGAGGGATACTTAAATATTCAGAAATATGTGTAAATTCCTGCTGCGTATCTAGATAACTCTTAAGATATAGTTGAACATATCAAACTAACATTGGGTTACATTTATAGTGCTCTAAAAAATCAAAAAGACAACAAAAGAATTGAGTCTTTGCCACAAACTCTGGTTTTTACATCCCTATATCTTAACAACCCAATATTGTAGACTAAAAGATATTTCAAACTATGACTTATGTTATATCAAACATAATTTGGTTGTAGATACTTGTGTATTAGAAGATCGGGATTTGTTGCAAAGACTCAATTCCTTTGAATCTTGCCCGAAACTGACTGCGGTGCTTGTGGATAGATTTTCTCTTTGAACTTTTATCTTACTTTCTCATCTTTAGCATTCTTTTCAAAACTATGAATTACTTTGCTCCAGAGAGGAAAATTTAGTTGGTTTTCTAAAGTTTTGAAAAGACACTTGACCAAGTCCATTTTAGATAATTTCTGGTGATTTCTTGGAGGATTTGTAAACCTTTACTTTGTTTCATTTCCATAAAATCATACTGTAGTACATATCTAAGTACACAGTACACATGGTTTAGAATACAGTGAGAACCAGAAAACTCTGGAATAGGAAGACGACTTCTAGACTCCAAGTTAGTCTTGAAATAGTTAAATTAACATGAAACAGAGCAATTGTACAGTGTAAACATATCTTTTCCGATTAATAAGTGATTTAAAAAGACTAATTAAACTTTTTGCTTTTTAACAACATCGAATACACTAATTTAATGTTGTCTTTCTATTCCAGAGTTTTCTGGTTCTCACTGTACAACACGTGAACAAGTATTTAGAATCCAGTTACGATATTTTGTAGATATCAATTTGATGGATATTGCCTCGCTGTACTCTTTTCCAACAGAGTTCTTGGCAATCATGTTCTAGGATTATCCTGGCAAGGCAATCATATCAGGTAAATTAAAGGGACTGTCAACGATATGTGTTAAGACTGTGGCGGTTACCAAGTAACGACACGGCAGGAAAAATGAGGAAAATGTGTTTTCTAATAATGTTTTTACATTTAATATACAATATGCAGTAGGTTAAATATTTCATAATCGTCATCTATCATGGTCAATTTAGTTAAATACTTAAAAGTAATACTTAAAGTAGTGTTCGGGAAAAATGAAAAGGGGTATAGGTTTACGGCGAAAAATTAGTGCTATTGATCGCTACTAATCTTACTCCTATATCTGTTGCGTCTATAAGGAGAAAATTGTTAAAAACGACTCATACCGAACAACGTAGCGTCCTTACAAATTCTGAAAGTTGCAAAATTCAACTCGGATCGTAAAATAATCAATTTAATTCTAAAATAATCATTACAAACAATAGTCATTGATTATTTTTTGACGCATTCGTGTATAGTTGATTTTCATAATATTTCTGATTTAAAAAAAAATAATATTCCGTTTGCGCTGAATTTTCGAACATTCCTGGAAAATATGAAAATTTCGTCTTCATTATCAAAACAGGAATAAAAGTAACTCTCAGATTATGAAAAATAAAAAAAATATTATGAAATATCAACTAGACGAATGCGTCGAAAAAATCATCGATGACTATTGTAATATCTGAATGATTTGTTTGGAAATTAACTGATTTGTATACGATCCGAGTCGTATATTGCAACTTTCTGAATTTGTATGGACGCTACGTTCTTCGGTATGAGTCGTTTTTAACAATTTTTTACTGATAGACGCAACAGATAGAAGTTAGATTAGTAGCAATCAAAAGCGATTATTTTCGCCGTAAGCCTATACCCCCTTTCATTTTTCGCGAACACTCTCTTTAAATGAAGGAAGTGTATCTGCATATATTTATAGAGGGTCTGGAGCAGGAGTGTGTCAGAAAAGACGGTTTGTTGAAACAGGAAAAGGAGAAAAGGTAGGAATGGATTTTCTTACAAATCTATCTTTATAACTTTATATCAATCTGAAATTACTTTAAGATTCTTTTTAAAAAATCTAAAAACCTTTATTGTATTTCAATTTTCTAAGATAATATAGTGATACCAAAAAAACTGTAGAACAGTAAGACGACATTAAACCGATAGGGTTGTTACGAAGCAAAAAAAATTTACTAATGAGCTATCAAATTATATACACTTAAATGATTTTTAGAAAGTGTGAAGTTGATTTTTTTAAAACATTTTTCTAGGAACAGTATAACCTGAACAGCCTTTTCATTACTTTAAGGTAAAATTATGCCAAAGAGTTGTAATTTATATTTTTTTTAGGTCTTGACTTTTTCCTGAAATTATTATTCTGCATTTAACCATAAAATTTTCTTATTTACGGGACGATATGTTACAAAGTATAAAAAGAATTAAAAATCAGTGATGGTGGTGGACCAAACCTCTGTAGAGTATAAAAGTAGATGTTAGTTCCACATTTATTGAAAATATATTTCGGTCTGGGTTGACCCTCGTCAGTTCTTGAGATTGTTTCTTCACAAAGATAAAAACAAAACTCTTTTACGAAAAAAAAACTTTTTTATCAGTAATATTGTAAATATTGCAAGAGTGTGTATTTTGTGACATCATCAATTGTTCTTTACACTCGAGAAAAAAAGCATTACGAGAGTAAAAGGAACTAATGTATGTTGTACAAAATGTATTTTAAGAATAATTAAATTCATTACTTATATTAAATGTCAACGTTTCTTTTTAACTTTTAAAGCGGTTTATCTTTTTCAGAATATTCTAGAAGGACAGTTTTTTAATTTATTTAATTTTGTTCAAATAATTAAATATCCTTATGACTAGAGAATACCGTGGGTGTTTAATATCTAAGATTGAAATTTTGAAGTAGAACAAAGAAAATTTTAGTTACTGATATTTTTTTAAAATAAGATTTTATTCGAGATGTTTGGGTTCTTTCCTTCTATTGGTCACTTGTTATAGAAGAGAACCAGAAAACTCTGGAATAGGAAGTTTTTTTTTTAAGTCAAGTTATGACACTAAATAGTCCGATGAACCGGAGGCACTTCAATTGCGCAGTGTAAACAGACCCATTTCATAAGTGATTTATAGCTTGTTAGTAAAGTTATTTGCTTTGTAACCACATAAAATGCATCAAATTCAGTATCGCTTTAATGTCGTCTTCCTTTTCTACAGTTTTCTGGTATTACTTTAAGACGCAAAAATATATTTAGATTCTGATCGATCCAAACCGATTTGGTTGGGTCATTTAAAATTTTAGGAATCATAAATTAAAGATATAATTGGGTTATTATTGTTATTGCTTGTTTTTTACATCGTTAAACATGATAATAACATCAATTATTTCTTGACAAGGATCTATCAATTGATTTTATTTTTCATAAATTAACTAAATGATGATGAGACACTGATACACTGATACACTGATACACTGATACACTGATACACTGATACATAGATACACTGATATACTGATACACTGATACACTGATACACTGATACACTGATACACTGATACACAGATACACTGATACACTGATACACTGATACACTGATACACTGATACATAGATACACTGATACACTGATACACAGATACACTGATACACTGATACAATGATACACTGATACACTGATACACTAATACACTGATACACTGATACACTGTTACAACTATCTAGAACTGAAAAGACTGAAAGAATACCTCTCCGAATGGGAGTCTTGAACCTTGCTCATGAAATCCTTCATAGCTTTGGAGCTAACCATGATAATTCTTCTTGTACTCCACAGGTAGTTATCATCCAGTCTATATCTGGCTTGTCTGTCTGATGTCTGTCTGTATCCACTATCTGATGTCTGTCTACACTATCAACCTTTACCCCGTCAGCGAATAGAGACACCATTAATGAGCCTCTTTTCAGTTATCAAAAAATTTGGGGCTATAAACCTGTAAAATATTGGCTTTGCAGGGATATGATGCAAAACAAGAACAATAAAAATGGAGATTTTAAGAAGCTGCTATCATATGATTATTAATACAATTTTTTAATAAGATTTGTTAAAAACAATATTTTAAAATAATTGTTAAAAAAAGATAAATTTGTTAATAAAAAGGAGGTGTGAAGCGCTTTTAAAGCCTAGTTTCAGAAAATTAAACTAGCTGTGAGATATCTTAAAACATTCAACTAGATCAGATTTAGAATTTTAGACTGTCAGATCAATATTTTAGAATATTAGACTGTCTGGTGGATATTTACAATATCAGACTGTCTGGTAGATATTTATAATATTAGATTGTCTGGTGGATATTTGTGTTTATTTAGAATGAAAGTTTTTCTGGTGGATATTTAGAATTCTAAATTGTCTGGTCTTTATTCAGAATATAAGATTGTCTGGTGAATATTTAGAATTTTATAATGTCTAGTAAATATTTAAAATTTTAGACTGTCTGGTGGATATTTAGAATATCAGATTGTTTGGTGAATATTTAGAATTTTATACTGTCTAGTAAATATTTAGAATTTTAGACTGTCTAGTGGATATTCTAGAATATTACACTGGCTGGTGGATATTTAGAATATTAGAATGTCTGGTGGATATTTAGAATATGAGACTTTCTGGTGGATATTTAGAACATTAGACTGTCTGGTGGATATTAAGAATATTAGACTGTCTGGTGGATATTTAGAATATTAGACTGTCTGGTGGATATTTAGAATATTAGACTGTCTGGTGGATATTTATAATATTAGACTGTCTGGTGGATATTTAGAATATTAGACTGTCTGGTGGATATTTGATGAGTAAATATTCTGGGACTGGTTTATTTAACAACAATGAGTTAATCTCTTCATGTACACAACAGAGCCTAACAGGTTATATATTTACAAAGGAACTGAGGTCTTGCTACATATTTTCAAATTTTCATATCTTTTCAACCTGATGGTGTAAAGCTTTGATATTTCAAATTTATAGTTTTTGATCTTACATAGTCTAAAATATGCAAGGTCTACGACATCGGATTAAAAAAGCATTAAAAATCAGAGTTTGTGTTAAGATCTCAGTTCCTTAGCTCATATTTATTGTATCATAAATGATTTTCTTCATGTTTTCAGCTAAATCATCCTTTTCTAAATTTTGTAACTTTTCCCGAATTAAAGATTAATTATAAAATGACATTCTTCTTTGGATACAACCCCCCCCCCCCTCCTCCCCACTAACCATAAACCTTTATTTAAGTTAAATAAAGCTCGGCCACTTCAGCCATTTTTTCAGATGGGCATTTTATTTGAGACCAAACAAATACTTGGGCGCGCTTTCGGCGTCCCCACATCTTTGATTAATGTTTAGTAGAATCTATCTATATCACTAGATTATCCTTAATCCTTTGTAATTTTTTGTAAAAAATCTATATAATTTATATGTGTTTTTCTCTGTTATAATCGCAATATTTCGGTGATTACAGGATCCATTCAAGGATTAATATATGAAGGGGAAAAGTAATTATAAATTAAAATCATTATAAATCAATGCAAGCTATATTAATACAATGTTTGTAAATGAAAAGATTATCAGATTATTTTCATTTTGTCCATTCTCACCATGAAACGCAAGACAAATGCATTTTAAGTGGATTAATGTGACAAAAAACATACAGGAGGGACCCCTAAAATACCCCGTCGTGGGCCCTACTCCCCCCCTTTTTTTCCGGGACAATATTCAAGTTCAAGTTTTGAATGTAAATTAATTGAACAAGGCAAAATTAAAATGATTCAAAGTATTTCATTGTACGCATCAGAATTTTGTATATATGGAGTATCGTTAATCTTGAATGTTTGATCTTGATATCCAATATGGGCACTATTACAGTTAGGATAAATGCTTGATGAGCTTGATTCCTCATTTCAGATATCCCTGCATATTACAATTACAACTGGATATCGAAGAGGATATAAATTAATCCGTCAGAATAAGATAGAAATAAAAGCTTAATCTAAAACACACAACTTCTGATTTAAGTACATATTTGCGATCTTTGTAAATAACTCCTCCAGTTTTTAATTGGTCCTAAAATATAAGATTATAAATGTAATTAATATTATAATCTAATATTATGATTTAATTACATATTTGCGATCTTTGTAAATAACTCCTCCAGTTTTTAATTGGTCCTAAAATATTAGATTAAAATGTAGTTAATATTATAATCTTATATTATGTCTAATATAATCCTACTTTGTAAATAACTCCTCCAGTTTTTAATTGGTCCTAAAATATAAGATTAAAATGTAATTAATATTGTTATCTTATATTATTTTAGTACATATTTGCGATCTTTGTAAATAACTCCTCCAGTTTTTAATTAGTCCTAAAATATTAGATTAAAATGTAATTAATATTGTAATCTTATATTCTGATTTAAGTACATATTTGCGATCTTTGTAAATAACTCCTCCAGTTTTTAATTAGTCCTAAAATATAAGATTAAAATGTAATTATTATTAAAATCTTATATTATGTCTAATATAATCCTACTTTGTAAATAACTCCTCCAGTTTTTAATTAGTCCTAAAATATTAGATTAAAATGTAATTAATATTGTAATCTTATATTATGTCCATCGTCTAATATAATCCTACAGAAATAACATGTTCAGATAGTTTGTCGAATCCAGATCAAACTCACTGTCTCGAACATGTAAATACAGGTAAATATACTTTTTTTACATAAATACATATATGTAAAATTGTATTCTACAGTCAAAATCACAAAAACCGCCCAATTAAATGACAATAGGATGATTTTACAATCGTCTATATAATCTTAATATTTGTCAATCAAATTTTACAATCGTCTATATAATCTTAATACTTGTCAATAAAATTTTACAATCGTCTGTGTAATCTTAATATTTGTCAATCTAATTTTACAATCGTCTATATGATCTTAATATTTGTCAATCTAATTTTACAATCGTCTATGTAATCTTAATATTTTGCATTCTAATTTCACAATCGTCTATATGATCTTAATATTTGTCAATCTAATTTTACAATCGTCTAAATAATCTTAATATTTGTCAATCTAATTTTACAATCGTCTATATAATCTGAATATTTGTAAATCTAATTTTACAATCGTCTATGTAATCTTAATATTTGTCAATCTAATTTTACAATCGTCTATATATAATCTTAATATTTGTCAATCTAATTTTTCATTCGTCTATATAATCTTAATATTTTGCATTCTAATTTCACAATCGTCTATATGATCTTAATATTTGTCAATCTAATTTTACAATCGTCTATGTAATCTTAATATTTGTCATCTAATTTTACAATCGTCTATATAATCTTAATATTTGTCAATCTAATTTTACAATCGTCTA